ATAATAATAATAATAATAATAATAATAATAATAATAATAATAATAATAATAATAATAATAATAATAAAGTTTTATTTTCCACCCCCAAACACCAAACATATTTATTTTTTAAATAGTTGGCTTGCTTTACAGAAGTGATGACAGAGACTTACTTTCTCTTAGGCGACCCCAGCCACAAGTGCTGCATATATAGCCTGGATCAAACGTTTCATCTGGACTGGGAAGACACGCTGGCCAAACTTTGGGACCTACCATGGAAATGGATCGTGGTTGTTAAGTATGGGAAAGAATAATGTTCGTTTGGGCTGCGTCCCAAGTCTCTCTCTCTCAACAAAAAATTTAGCTGCGTTTTATAGGTAACTTTCAGAAAATATTTTAAAACTTGATTTCTAAAATAGATGACAAGAATTCATGGAGATGTTCTTCTGGGCAATTGCAATTGAAACCAAGAGCAACATCAAATGTATTTTCTCCCACTCACAGATTTTTGCTCTGGGCTGTTTCTTTCTCAAATGTTTGTAGCACAGAAAATTCTGAATTCAAACCTTCCCCCCCCCCCTTTTATACAATCACAATAAAGCTTCCAGTGCAAGACCCACACAACACTAAAGCCGGGTCACATACACATGCAGCTGTGTGGCAGCCGCTTCCCCATGGCACATCCCTATGCACTGTGGTATATAAGAACTAGTCCCATATGGGTATGATTACTCTTCCTAAATCACAACTCTTTCCCAATCCTCTCAAGTAAATTTCTGATATTCATTTCTGCTTTTCAGAAGACCATTTGTTTGAAGGGTGATCCTGTATATATGTATTATTTATTGTGAGACCTTGTATGTGCTACTTCCTAATAAAGGACTCAGAACAACCAGTGTTTAGGCTGCAGAAACGCTGTGTATTATTGATCAATATGATAATTATTAGTACAGTGAAGTTGTATATTTTTATTTCTGCAAATGGTTGCAGTTATACTGGCTGTTTGTGGATCCCTCTTATTATGAATGTTGACATCGTTTGGCTCTGTAATTACAAAAAGTTGCCAGCCCGCTTCTTCACAACCAAATGAATCTATTCAACCCACATTCTTCTCACCAGCTTGATCATGTGAGCTGAATATGTAAAGTACTGGTTGTTGGTTCACCGGGAAGCGGGGTGTCTTTTGGAATCAGGTGTGACACCGTTTACAGTGCTGTCCTAAGTACACTTCCATGGAAGTAGCCTTCAGTAGGTTCCTGAAAAGGTCTGATTAGGACTGCACTGTTAATCTGTTATAAATTATTTTCTCTTGAGTTTTAATAACAATGTTTATAAAACTCAGACAGATACTTATAATCCCCCCTATAATTATCATATTTGACTAAGATATTACCATATTTAAAGCTGCCATCCACTTTCAGAAGGGCAATGTCATAATTCATTGGTTTCCTGGGGTCAAATTTTGGATGACTGAAGATATGTTTTACAGGTAGTGTCTGTTCTTCCTGCTCTGTCAGAGTCAGATCATGTTCTCCGGCAGTGATGGTCAAAGAACTGAGCAGGTTTCTGCATGGTAGTGAGAAATTGTTGGAATGGGGGGGGGGATAGAATTCATTTTTTAAAAAACAACAAACCTTTTTATACACAGAACCATGAATTTTTAACTAGCAATCTTTTTGTAGAAAAAGCCCAGCAGGAACTCATTAGCATAATAGGCCACACCCAACAGCAGGAACTCATTAGCATATTGGGCCACACCCCTGACAGCACAGCTCATTAGCACATTAGGCCACACCCCCACGTTACCAGAAGTGTGGTTATCCAGCCACACTCACCTTTTGCTTGTTCTTCTGTTGACCTTGTTTGTTGTCAAAACCCAGGGCCTTTTTTTGTAGCAGGAACTCCTTTGCATGTTAGGCCACACACCCCTAATTGTAGCCAATCCTAATGAGTTTCTGCTGTTGGGTGTGGCCTGTTATGCTAATGAGTTCCTGCTGGGCGTGGCCAACTTGGGAGCCAGCCGGAACTCCGTTCCTGTGCGTTCCTGCCCCAAAATAGCCCTGGCAATATATATTTCTGGTGAAATATACATACCTGCTTTGAACACAGTGAGCTGCTGTGATCACCCATTGAGTAGAAACAAGGGTTCCGCCACAAAAATGACTGTTCTCTCGTTTCAAGGAAACCTGAAGAAGAAAGAACACATACTGCATTGTGTTTGCGTATGAAAGTGCTGTAAAGCTGCAGCCAACTTATGGTGACCCCATATGGTTTTCCAGGCAAGAGACAAATAGAAGGGGTTGGCCATTGCCTGCCTGGGCTTCCTTGGTTGTCTTCCATCCAAATACCAACTAGGGCTGACCCTGCTTCACTTCCAAGATCTGACAAAGATTGGGCTAGGCTGGGTCATCCAGCTCAGGGCACACCCCATATTAGTAAGTGCAAAATGAGTGTTCTAATCATATCTGCAAAATGAGAAAGAGAATAGGATATATACATAGCAGTGAATGCCCAACATCTGGAGAATGTCAGCATGTACATGTGAATGATAATAATCCTTGATTAACTCTGTAAATGCCTAGGGTTTATACACACACACACACACACACACATACATAGGGGTAATTTCCTGCAGGAGCACACAGGAGCGGAGCTCCGGCAGTAACAAGCCCCACCCCCTGCTCCCAGTAGCCCTCAGTCAGAGCAAGAAGCAGCCAGGTAAGTTGCAGAGCCCCCCCCCCAGCCCAAAACAGTCCAGCGGCACCTTTAAAACCACGTTTTATTCAGGTACAAGCTCTCCGTCCTCTGCGAGAACAGATCTGCACGTCCCTCCCCCCCATAGCTAGCAATCCAAAATAGTCCAGTGGTGCCTGAGCGGTGAATGTTGCCTTCTGACACACTTCCGGTGAAGTCAGGGTGTGTGGCATATGCAAATAAGTTATGCTGAGTTATGCTAATGAGCTCCTGCCTTTCTTTTTCTACGAAATGACCCCTACACACACACACACACACACACGCACAGAAAAGGACAATGACAATAACATTTAGTTTACCCCTTTTGCATTCTCTTTTGGTCAAGACTTCGGTCATATAGACCCGTAATGAATTGAATTGAATAACATTTAGGTGACGGTCCATGTTCATATAAATCTCTAAAATTCCAGACATTCACAGAATTTTTTCTGGTATTATCAGCATGTAAACAAATGATAAACACTGTGATTTTTTTTAAAAAAGTTGTCTTAATATCACCATGGCTATTTAGCATGGTTAATGCGACTAATCTAAGATCTGATCTGAACACGCCCAATTTGTTAACCCTAGGCAATGAATTGAAACAAATGAAACAAAATTACTTCTGACTTTTGGTAAGAAATAAGCCACATGGGTGGCGGTATCACTTTGTCAGCAGTCAGGGACAAAACTTTCCTGGTGGGAACAGACGCAGAGGCCCTGAATTTGACCCCCTACCAGTCACAAGGCAGCCTACCTTTCCTGCAGACAAAGAGGACAGAGGCCTGAGACTTCCCTACATAGTAAAAAGTATACAACACACACAAATATAAGGGAGATCAGCAGTGAAGAATATTTATTCATTTTTAAAATGTTAGCTAGCTTTTCTCCACAAAATGCAGAACCAAAGCGGTTTATAATGTATTTAAAAAAACACTCTAAAGACAGTCAAATTTCACTATTCCTACTTGCCATCAACAAACTAAATCAAAAGACAGATCAGGTGGCAACAGCTCTGCCCTTGATGACAATGGTCTCTCTCCAGGCAAGCAGGCATTCACTTCTTCTAAATTGTCACTCTGAGTCTGAAGTAATCTTCTCTGACCGAAATGGGAGGAAGCCTCCAAGTGACCAGTCTATTTATGAACTGTTTTTGTGATTGGGAGGTAACGGGATATTTAAAGACTTGTATTAAAGAAATCACAGGGTGCACATGCCATTTTCTCAGTCTGAAACTGTTCCTGAAGGCATGCTATTTGGGCAAACAGCAGATGGCACTATTGGTAAACTTGTCAGTTTCTCCAATGAACCAAATAGCACCTCAGGTATGTTTCAGCTTGCCCTCCTCCCCCAGCTTTATTGGACCTTTGCAAGGGGGAGAGGGGAGGATATACACAGCAGATGTTGATCTATGCAGAGATCTTTGCACATAGCATGCATGGAAAACTGGCATTCGGAGGAAAACCCTAAACTGGAGCTCTTGTCCTTGACATCTAGTTTTCTGTGTGCAGAAGAGTTTGTTTTATTTCATTCATTTACTTTATTTATACCCCAGTTCCCCACCCCCCCCATGGGGACCCAAAACAGTTCGGCTGAGAGTGTGAGCGTAGCCCAAGGTCACCCGGCAACCTTCCAGGGCAGCACGGGAATTTGAACCTGGTTCTCTCACACCCTAGTCCAACATTCTAACCACCCGACCGTACTGACTCACTCTAGCTGTTGTTTCTTTTTGACTATGAAAGAGTATTTCGTTTTGAATGTGAAAAATGTACAGTCCAGATCAATGCTTCTTCTAGGCTGTGGAGTCTTGTGAGCAAAAATTCTACTTTGTGGGCTGCTGGCATTAAAGTTACGAGCGAGCGATTTGGCTCCTGCGTAAATTAGTTTGCTCTGGAGCCCTCCTTCCCGAGCGAAGACAAAAACGGATGAGCCGGAGGCTAAAAAAAACCTGTGAGCTAGCTCACACTAACTCAGCTTAGGGGGAACACTGGTCCAGATCCAGGTTTGCTGTATCTGTAAGGACTAGAGCAGAGAGAGTCCTGCGGTACCTTAGAGCCTTGGAACTTTGCGGGAACAAGGGCATACATTTTAAAAATCGAACACCTCTAACATCATGACTGTATTTAAAGGGTGCATGCGTGGAGCTTGGCCACAGCGGTTGCAGACTGACTTAACCATCATCACCCATGGCTGGAGAAAGGTTAGTGTAAATTAGTATATGCTTGTGGAGTGCTCACACCTGGAACCCTATGTCTGACTGGGATCTGCCAGCTCCACCTTGCATAGTCTGCATAACGTATAAAGAGGTGGTCACTGTACATTTTCACTTGTCCATAAGGAAGGGGAAGGGAGAAATGGAGAGAAGGGTACAGGGTGAGGCAACCTTCTCCCACCTGGTCTGAGACCATCCTTTGAGGGACCTATAAGCAGCTGCACTTGCCATTCTTAATTATAACACTGTGAACTGACATAGCAACTCCTGATAATTTGATTTTATGTATTTCTGCATGTAAGTCAGATGGTTAATGTAGTGTATTCAAAGCTGACTTGAATGCATGACATGTGGTGAAACATCTAATTGAAGTATAATGCAAAGCTTCGTCCTGGGCTAGGATCCAAATACATCCAATCGTATCACTAGCCCAGGAAGTAACAAGCCAATCACTTCACAGCAAGCTCCCTGAGCAGGAACGTCCGTGATTTGCCCGTATACGAACAACCTCATTGGTTGGTATTTGTACAGGGGAATGTTTAAAAGCAGGACAGCTGCAATGTAAAGGCTGTTCTGGCTATCAGATGTTGATCCGTGTTGGAGTTGTGTTCGAGTTGAAGAATAAAGTTGTGTTCTTGCTGAATCACTCTCTGACTACTTTGTTAAGCGAACGACTTAACAGTTAAAACAGACAAACTTGTATGTCTTAGAACATCATGCATCTCTGGGAGGGCGGCCACTAGAAAACAGCAGCTGCAATCACACAGGTGGATGTCAGAACTGCACAAGCACATACTGATTTACACTCCCCTTTCTCCATATACAAACACAGAGTCCATACGTTAGTATTTAGATCCCTGCTTCTAAATTCTGCTGCTGCAGGTTAAATAGCATAGAACATCAAAAGGCAGACACAGAAATCTCATAGTTTAAGAATATTATTCCCCAAACCAGTAGATTTGTCTGAGCTTCTTAATGGATCTTACTATGAAAACAAAATAACGAATCAGAGAAAAGCTTCTGGAAATCCAGAGAAAATTGAGATTGTTTCTTGCTTTACTTGCGCCGTTGCTATTGCAGGTGGCAGAACTGTGTTCAGAAAAAGGACCTACAGCGTAGCCCAAAGACATGCAGTTCCCTGTTTTTTCTCCTCCGTGATTCACTGCCATTTAGACCTGCAGGTGGCGTGGACTACAGCTCTCTTGGCCAGGGAGTGCTCACCTGCCATGGGTGTGAGCCATGCTGCACCTGGTTCCCACCAACAATCCTAGAGAGGTAGTTATGGAAACTCCCTGCATTTTGTTCCAAGGGTTTCTTTCCACATTTAGAATCTGAAAGGCACAAAGGAAAAAAGAGTAAGATACCTCAGTGTCACTTTCTACATTATTTTAATATACTAAATAACTTCCAAATCTCCAAAAGTCCTAAAATGGTTAAGCAGAATATTTTAATGTAATCGATAAAACAGTTTGTTACTTTTAATGAAAAGATAAAAGTTAAACTACAGAATAAAAATAAAAGCAAGTATTGTATTGCTCACTTTGCAGTTAAACTCCCCCCCCCCGAAGAATGGCACAGGTTTTGCTAAAAACTATGCGTACATGCTTTACAAGCAAAACACCACAATGTCCGTAAAGTCTAAATACAAATGGCATTTCAGATGAAAAACCTTCATGCATTATTTACTTGATAATTTAATTTTTTTTTTAAATTGAAGCTTTTTGTGTGTGTCTGTTGGGACCCTGGGAGGGAGGGAGACATGAAACCAGCCTTTCGTCCAACAAGACGGCCACCAGAGATGAGAAGCTGCTTGTCCTTTGTTTATTGAGTTGTAGAGAGCAACATGCCCAGTCACTTAACCTAGGCCCCCAGTTCCCTCACCTCCCAACTGCACTGACTGACTAGTTTTTCTCAACTTTTCCTAGGCTGACACCCTTTGCTCCTTGCATGTCTCCCTTTCTGGGCCACCTCTGGTCATCTCTTGCCCAGAAAGTACCATGGATGGGGTCACCATGAGTCAGTTGAGACTTGATGGAACATTCTTCTTCTTCCACAGCCTTGCCCCTTGCTCTTCTCTCAGCCCCTCCTTGGGACCCACTCTTGCATCCTGTGTCAAAGGCAGACCCGGCCCATTGCTAGTAGTGGCCCTCTCCCCTCAGGGTCCAGGCTGCTGGTGAGATTTCTGGGGACAGCCATGCCGCCATCTCCGTGGACCAGTTTGGCATCTGTGTAGCCAGCCACCTCCCCAGGCAGGGCATTCCTTGATCATTCTTCCTTGGAGATACCTACCAGGATACCTACCAGACCCTTCAACTCAAGAGACTCTGCCAAGGTTGGGTTGGGCTGTCCTGCAGGGTCTGATCCAACATCAACCTCAGTCTCTACTGTGGTACTACCTTCTTCCCCTCCTTTGCTGGCCCCCTTGCCCCTAGCCTCATTCTGCTTGGTATCAAGGTGCGCCCCCTACCTGTCTGGAGTTGGACTTCACATTGTCTTTATCATATTTCATTGTACAAAATTCATGAGTGTGCGAATTTACAGTTAAAATATTAAAAATATGTCATATTCTCACACCAAAAAGAAATGAAGTACTGTTGTTTAGAAAAAAGATATTACAGCTGGAAATTATTGTGAGGTTATTTTAGAACTGACTGTATACTTTTCAAGGTTCTAGCTGAACATTAGTTTTCTCCTATGGCTTGTGTCTTTGTCACAAAAACAGGAAAAATTAATCAATGTATGAATAATGAGAGTTCATAATAATATATATAACTTAAACAATTCTCAATTTCCAGATCCAGATGAAGTATATTCTAGCCTTCAAGCAGCCCAAGCAACGATAATGTGTACACACACAAATACACACACACGCACAAGATCAAGATGGGTAACTGTGTTAGTCTTTCTGTAGCAGTAGAAAAGAGCCAGATTCCAGTAGCAGTTTAAAGACTACCAAAATTTGTGGCGGGGTAGGAGCTTTCATGAGTCACTGCTCACTTCTTCTATATTAGGGTTACCATATTTTGGAAAGCAAAAACAATGGTATATTTCCCAACTGACTACTTCAAACAAGTGTTCATTATGACAAATCTCATTTTAAATACCTCTACTCTTTAAGCTGTGATAACTGCTACTACCTGGGAATATTCCTAACCTTCCAACCTCCAAAAGAGGACATTTTCATCAGGTGTTTTTTTTTTAAGAGTCCAAAAGAGGACGGATACCAAAAAAAGAGAACCTGTCCTCTAAAAAGACATCTGATAACCCTAACACACACACACACACACAGAGGGAAAGATAACCAAAGGAGAGGGCCACCTTTTTCTTGTGTGCCTCTTCAATGATTGAAAATGCCCCTCCAAAGCTGCACATAGCTCCACAATGGGGAAAATATAGTACAAGCAACCAAACTTGTCTTTTCACATCTGTTTTGGCCTTAGAGAGTGCTTGGTATCTTTTGCATGTGACACATGTGCATGACTAGTCAGCCACATCCCGTTCCCAACAGAACAATCACCACTCTGAAATTATCCAGGGATATAGGATCCATTCACCTGTACACTCTGCATGTGATGGGTATTCTTCTTGTATTACCCATGGTTGTATGATAGGGTCATCAAGAACACATCACAGCAAATCTTCCCCTTATACAATGGATGACAGTATATAGAACCTCAATTTCTTTCACTCAACGGATTATACAGATAGCTACTTGGAGCAACGTACGCCATACAGTCTGGGCCAAGCGGGGGGGGGAGGGGACTCTGTGCGGATCCACCTTTCTTCCACTAATGGTTGCAGCAGAAATGAAAGGCAGAGACATCACTGAAGAAACTAAAAGTAACATCTGCATTGACAGCCAGTATCCAAACAAACAGTTATGAAGATTTAAGGGTAATGCCAGCCCAGCCCTCGCTGTGCTGTTCTGGAGGCTCCACTTTTGGCAGCTCAATGACCCGCTGCAAGAGCAATCTGCAAAAAACTAGGGCGCCCTTCCAAAAAGAGACGTTCCCTTCGACTTCTATAATGGGCAGTTAAGATACAGGGTGACATGATTTAAATGTCTGGATCTTGCTTTTAGAAAACAATCAGAGAATAATATGAAAACTTGGCCATACCTTGCTGTCGCGACATTGATCTAGAGCTTCCCTCTCTAAAGTAAGTTGTCCCAAGCATAAGTACAAGCAGATTGCCTAAGGACACTGGCATTTCCAGGCAGTAAGTGACTAAATTTAAAAAGAGAGAGAACTTTATACTGGCAAAGAAGAAACGATAACACAGTGGGAGAGCAGCGGCTGACTAATTCAAATTCAGGTTACTCATTAATCAGGCTATAAAGCTTTGAACCAGGCGCTACTAAATTTTTCCAAATTTAACCAGGCATGATTTCTTTTCAGTTCTAAAGAGGCCAACACTCTTCATTGCTGGGTTTTTTTAAGCTCGAACTTTTATTTAAAGGCCAGTCCATACATTAACAAGCACAATAAATCCAGGCTAGCCAACACACAGAGTCCTTTGCCAATATAACAGCATCACACTGATGATTAACGACTCCAGTTTAATTATAGTCGTCTCCAAGGTTATCACATGTGGATTTTTTTTTTAAGTTTGTCTCCTGCATTTTATAGGTTTGGCAGCACAGCAGCTATGCTGGGCTATACTTTAGAACCACCATCTAAATTAATTTACTGGGGAGAACACTGTATTGAATTCAGGTTATTTTAAAATGCATGTGGTCTCGGCCTTAACATCAATAATATTTTTTTAAAAATACAGTTGTTTTCCTACTATTGTCAGCATGCGTCATTGCCATTAACATTGTGCAGAATGCAAAACTAAATCCTGGCTAAGTCTTCACTGATGCAGAAACTGTAGTCTAAATAAAGGAGGAACACATTGACCTGGATAGCCCAGGCAAGCCCAATTTCGTCAGATCTCAGAAGCTAAGCAGGGCTGACCCTGGCAAGTATTTGGTTGGAAGACCTCCAGAGAATACCAGGGCCGGGAGGCCAGAGACAGGCTATCAAGCCACTTCTCTGAATGTTCTCCATGCCCCAGTAGGAGTCACCAGAGGTCACCATGACTTCCAGGCACAGGCACACATACACACAAACACACACAATGCAAAAATGCTCCCCCCCCCCTAAAAATAAATAAAGGAGGAACACATAATAGAATTGATTGAAACACTGCAGAGAGAAAAAAAAACTAACAAAAGACTGAAAGGGCCAAAGTTTGTTTGTTTGTTGCCAGGTTGCAATAAACTATGTCATGTATACATTCCTTTGGGGAAACAGTGGGAAATGTCCTGTCGCAGGGAGTTCCATGGTCTTTGCACCAGGCTGTGTCTCCCTAGCATAAACTGCACTTGGAGGCGGGAGAATCTCTGCAGCTAAGCTGCACGGCTCTTAAGGCTGCAGGTTGTGGGTGTCCAGTCCCTTTGACATCACTAATGACAAGGGATACACAAACAGGAGGAGGCCGCCCAAATCTTAAAGCCAGCCAGGGCAATAAAGAATAAAGCGGAATCTGCATTTGTCTTTCCCACCGGTGTCCCAGCCTTTTGACTCCATCTTCAAAAAAGCTGTCTACATTTGGTGTCGTTTTCACACCTGAACAGTGCTAGCATACTTTCGCAAGTCCACATATGTTTATCATCCTTTGGGGCAACTCCACTGTCATTGCACCTCTGCGCTGCTTTAAAAGAATCTTCTCCAAACAACGTTCAAACAAGCATAGAGAAAGACAGCGTCACAGCAGCACGAAAATGATTTTACAATGCAAATGCAGATTCGCCCTTAAAACAAAAGTAGCTCAGCTCCCACGCTTCGAACACCGAATTGTAGTTTGCAGCAAGCTATATATTGCACAGTATGTCCTGCATTCACTCGCTGTGTTTTCTTTAAAATCACTTTCATGTACTTTTGGCGGGACAAGATCTGCACATAGCAGCAAAATAAAAAAAAAAAAAAAAACAAAACACCCCACTCTGCTGTGCTGTCAGCATGTCCCTCTGTTCTTCCAGAATACTGAGATTAGGCTTCATCCATACCATCTTTCAAGACCACCAATCTTCAGTTCCATCCTAAACAGAGGCTTAGAAGCGTGTTAACTCTTTAGGACTGCACTGCTTGTTTTCTAAAGTTGTATTCAATCACACTGTTATATCTTGTAACGTTTTGCATTCTCTATCACGGTATACTGTCATCAGACTACACATCCTAATGATTGGGGGGAGGGATCAATCAGAATTTCTGATACGGAAAGGAAACACTTACTGTGCAGTGTCCCTGGGTGCGGGAGGGGAACAGCAAGCGACCTCAGAGCAGCATGTTCCATGCATTCTTTCCCTGGAACAGGGTGGTGCGCTGAGTGGGAAGGGCGGCACTGGCCTTTGTTCTCTCCCTCTGCTACTCACTCTTATCACCCTCGCCACAAGGAGTATAGAGTGCTCACAAGCTCCTCCAAAGCTATTCATCGTACTCTTGGCCTCCTCCATGGTTGTCAGCAAGTATTTCCTTTCCCAAATCTTGTATTCTTTTTTTTAAAATTCTTTTTATTAATTTTTTCATAAACAGATTTCAGTAACATTACTATGAACAGATTTCAATAACTTTGCATACAATTTATCATGTAGAGTTGTGGATATAGCTTTCATATATAGACAATAACGACACATAAAAACAAATTAACATTAACTGTAGGCATGTTAACAAGTGTTTCGATTTCAACTTAGGTATTTATTAGTTTCGAGACCAAGGTAACCAATTCGCACTTTAGCACTATCTTTCATCATAATTTCAGTGTTGTGATGACAGCTATTGGTTTAGTATAGATTATGTAAACTAATAACCGGCTATGACATACCATTTGATCCGGCTTTATTGTTTCTGGATAGATGGGACGCAATAGTAATACCACCAATCCATCGGGACCTTATCACTATTCTCCTAGTAGCGGCTAAGACATCCATTGCAGCTAGATGGAAAGCAGATAAAGCCCCATCTCGATCCTGCTGGTTGAATAAAGTGTGGGACCACCTAATCTTGGAGAAGATAACAGATCACATTCGTCATTCAGAAATCTACCCCAAACAGTCCAGTTTTGCAGAGAAATGGCTTCCCTTCATGGAATTCCTTTTTGCCTGCAACCAAATCTTGCATTCTTAACTAAATAAGAGATACATGGAAACAATCTATGAATTCGAAATCTGTGGCTTGGGAACATTATGTGGTAAGTGTCTATAAATGATTTGATGACAAAGGGCAGACAGGACAGAGATTTAGAAAATGGGTGGTGACAGTCAATAGAGAGAACTTTTTGTCACTCTCGCATTACTTAGGAGCAACGAACAGCAAATTCAGTACGGATGAAAAAAGGAATTCTTCATTCAAACAGCAACTAACTTGGGGAACTCACCGTCACCATATGTAGCAATGGCCCCTAGTTTTGTTTAGTTAAAGTGGGATTAAACAGATTTATGAATGCTAGGCCATCAATGGCTGTTAGCAGAAGTCATTTCGGGGGGGAACGTGGGGGAATGCAGTTCCCCCGGGCGAGGTGCAGGGGGCGGGGCACATGACGAAGCCACGCCCCCTGCTTCCGACCGCCCTGCTTCCAGCCCTCATTCAGCCAGGAGGAGGCAGGAGAAGAGGGAAGGTAAGTTGCTTCCTCCCCGCCTCTCCCCACCCCTGCCTGCCTGGGGCCAGGGAGGGCCTTGGTGGGGCTTCCTCGCACTCCCGCTGGCCTTGCAGGTCCACCGCTGGGCCCCTGATGTCAGGGGGTGTGGCATATGCTAATGAGTTATGCTAATGAGTTCCCCTAGCTCTTTTTCTACGAAATGACCCCTGGCTGTTAGTCACAATAACTCCATGTTCAGAGGCATTACCCCTCTGAATATCAGTGCTGGAGGACTGTAACAAAATGCCAGACTTAGAGGCTTTCCAGGGCCATCTGATTTGCTACTGTGTGAAACAGTATGGTAAACTAGGTGGACAACCACAGCTGCTTTTTTGTTCTTACACCATTATTCAGCACTGACATTGCTGCTTCCCTGACATTTGGGATGCCGGGATAATACATATTTTGAAACCCTATTTTAGCTGTTTGAACATTATGTGCATCAATCAGAGCCCTTAATGTTAAATAATATGGGTTCCAGTCACATGCAGAATTAGTCGCACAATAGGGACGAATGCCGGGTGGATTTTAAGGGTGCAATCACACGGAAACATCTGGCAAGTGTCCCGCACCCGTCGGCAACCCATATCGCCCGGCTGAAGAAGTGGAGTTAAAAGATACTAGGGAAAGTGCAGTATTTTCTGGGAAACATGCAGCACGGGTGGGCATTTGATTGTGGAAGCGCTGGTATCCTGTCGCATCCGGCGCCCGTCCGCATCCCACCGGATATTTTTTTAAGCCTCTGTGGTATTCGCACAAATGCCGAACTGCGCATGCGCACAAATGCGTACGGCTGAACCGCCTCGCCCTTCTTTGCGACGCTTCCCCATCAACATGTGATCGTGGCTGACGGCATGCGTGCGGAGCCTCGGGGGGAAATGTCTGATCAAGATACCACACTTCATTTTGCTCCGGAGCAAAAAGCCTCACTTCACCCCCGGATGACCTCGCTCATGTGACCGGGACCAAGGTCTCTCTTTTTGCCTGCTGTATCTTAGTAGAACAAAGGACCTGTGTGAGTGTGTGGGCTCATGTGCACACATGGTGTGCCAAGACCGGGAACAGACTCTTGGCAGCACCACATGCCTAGGTCATTCACAAGTTTGTGGAGGAGAGGGAAAGGGAGGAAGAGGGAACTGCCATAGCAGGTAATTTAGAGCCAAACTAGATATGACAAGAGTCCACAGGTCCGACCCACAGATGAGGATGCCATTTTAAAGGGATTTAAAAATTCCACAAGGGACTGATCCTGATCAGGCCTGCAGCACAGCAGGATGAGGTGTTGTGTTCCCCCTTTGCCTCCCCTGCATTTCAGCTTGGAAAGGGGGGGGTGTACTGCCCCAGCAGAATACGTAGCTAGCAGATTGCTTTAGAGTAGGAAAATGAGCCCTTTGCCTTTAAGACATGGCACCATAGGGACTTTAAAGAATACTTATAGAAACATTGGGATGTTAAGAATAATCTACTTTGTTTTGATAATTATTAAGGATAGAACTCGGAAATAGTTGAATAGAGGATGATTGTTGTTA